AATCCTACAACTTTTTCTTGAGTCAAAGAATCTGGGAATGGCAAACAGCAAATGGACGTCAATCTCCAATCAAAAAGTTCACCATCATCCAACCAAATGAACGATTTGTTCAATACAATGATGCTGGAGATTCCTTCTTCAAAGAGGAATTAAAGCGTAGAAACATCAACGTTGAATACGGATTGAAATTGGTTGAAGTCAACAAACAATACAATACTGCCACTTTCGAAGATGTCAAGACTGGAAACAGACAGACCAGAAACTTCAACCATCTCTATGCAGTTGCTCCAACAAAGGCTCATGAACCTCTTGTCAAGGCTGGATTGACAACATCAAAAGGATTATTGGATGTCAACATCAAAACATTGTAGCATAACAAATACAAGAACATTTTCGGACTTGGTGATGTCAATGATCTTCCAACCACAAATTGTTTCTGGGCTGGATTCCACTAACTCCATGTTGTTAGAAATAACATCGAAAGAAATATTGCTGGCAAATCTCTTAATGCTGAATATGATGGATATAGCAAAGTTCCCATCATCTTGGGTTAAAACACCCTCACATTCTTATGTCACAAATACAATAATGAAAATGCTTGGCACAACCTCTACTTCTCAAATGGGGGATTCTTGGCTGCTTTGAGGTAATTGTTCCTTGTTATTCAAGATATTATAATTGGTGCAAGAATTTCAAGAAGGCCTTTATTGACATCTACTTGGAAAAGAATTGGGGACCCCCCTATTACAAAATTAAGAAGAGTTTCAAATTGCCTGAAGGTGAGCAGGATGATCATGGATTCTTATCCAAATTGTTGCCTGGCAAAAAAGAAAGTCATCATTGAAATAAATAAATAATATAAAAAATATATAATAATGATTAAATTATTTGCATAGAAGGCGATCCAATTACAATTTTATCCTCTCTATGAATTTAATAGATTTGCAGACAAATTATAAAAGAAGCAACAAGACAATCAGAAATAAGAATTCAAAAAAGAATTGGAATTCTTGGCTAGCAAAGTATATAAATAATTGCACCTAGCCACAATTTACACTTATTGATTTTAGACAAAGAGCACTCGATGGATTGCACAAACTCAAAAAAGGATTCAAGTATTAAATCTCTTCAGGGAATGAAGAGACTGAATAGCAATTGACACTATAGAGATAAGTCTTAAATGCCATGTTTGATGAGGAATTGTTGAATCCAGATGACTTGAGTGGAGATGTATGTGTATATATCTTAATAACAAGCAAAAAAAAGAAATAGCTATGGTTGCATAAGTGGAAGTGCAATAAGTGAATTTCGTGTTGAGTCAATATAGTCAGATAAGGAACATGCATTCATGGGTAAGGAACATGAAAGAGAGAGGAGAACCTATGCCTGACAACCAAGAAGACATGATGTACAGGTACAAGAGAGACAAGCCAATAAAGAAATCTTTCATCAAATTTGAGATGAAGAGACAAAATTTCTCTATGAAATAAAGATTATAAAAATTGAAATGGGGTCCTCGTAAAGAAGTGTGATATTTTATAAGTGTGTGCAAATATAATAAATATGTATGATTATCATAATTATAATTGATCATAATGTGAAAACTAACATGATAAAACTAGCCACCAATAGTTGAGCATAAACGATAGTGTCATTTTTGTAGTTCAAGTCAGTGCTTACATTAGTTGTTTGTCCATAAGCATACTATAATAATATTAACAAGCATAAATACTCCAGCATAAGGTTAGACTGATTAGAAGCAACGATTCTAGATCATGTGGAATCCATATTTGCAAATAGAGCATCCAGAAGATGAGTATGGTTTATCAGTGGAAAGAGTTGAATTCAATTTAACAGCACAATTGGCTTAATTAAGAGGCACACAACCTCCTTATTGGAAGACGTATCCATCAATACAAGTTAAACAGACCTAGCCAGGTGATGCACAAGTGGCACAACCGAATTAACAAGCAACACAAGTAGCTTAGGCAGTCTTAGTACCAGAATATTGGAAGTATCCATCCATGCAAGCTTTGCAAGTCTAAGAATTAAACTTATTCTTACTGTTGAATTGTCGCATGATGCACAATTGGTTTAACATGGTTAACAGGCTGCTCCTGATAAGTAATATCCAGTATTACACTTGGTACAGGTAGTATTTGATGAGCATTCCAAACAACCACCACTTGCAGAACATGTTGCACAGGTGGCTGAACTTGCTGAACTTGCTGCTTATAAGAAATATTTTGATGAGCATCCAGTACATGTAATTGGTGTTGAAGATGATCCACCACATTTATTACATTGTGCAGAGAGTTGTGTTTTAGCACCAGCCTATGGAGGACAAGATAAACAAGTTCCTCCTTCATAAGCTCCATAATTCTTAACACATGTGGCACAAACATTGTTTGTATTAGTTGATGTGTTCGTCAAAGTCAAACATGCTTATATTTGTACAGCTGCTATGCATGTTGGAGTAGTAACACCGTTTGTAGTAATATTGACTAAGAAGTATCCATCGACACATTAAGTGACTTAAACTGTTGTATATGATGGGGTATCCTATGGACCTCCACATCTCAACCATCCAGTTGATTAAGGATATGAAGTACAAGATGAGCAAGTTACAATTCCACTTCCATCCTTTACTGCATAGTAAAACTCTTAGCATTTTGTGCAGGATACAGTAGTACTGTTGATTGTGCATGAAGCGCATCCTGTTCCACATGGAGTGCAAGTCTTTGGAGTTTAGGTATTCAACACATATATGCTGATGCATGATGTACAATTCTAATTATTGTCCATTTGAGTGCAACCATCAGGCAACTTTTAACAGGTTGTTGAACCTATCAATTGATATCCAGAAGCACATGCCATACAGGATGTACCATTTTAGCATTTTGTGCAAGTGAGACTTGGTAAACATGAGGCACAAGTCTAACAATTACAATATATTAAATTATTACTGTTATTCCATTAACTTAACTGAGATAGTAGCCATCTGCGCATGTGGTGCAATTTGAGCTATTACTGCAATTTATACAATAATCTAAACATTTTTGACATGTTCCAGATCCATCTGTTGTTGATCCTGTTGTCAATCCACTGAATGACCAGAAGTACCCACCAGTACATTATGTGCATGTATATCTAACGTAATCATATAAAATTAATACGCTGAAGGACAATTTTAACATCCTGCTATGCCACATGGACTGCAAAAACCATCAAAGTAATTGTAATATTAGTCTGAGGAAGAGGATACTGATGGAATATAATCCCAATTTAAGTAGTATCCAGCTGAACACTGAGAGCATACATATCGAGTGCTACTATATGTTGAGCAGGCATAATTCCTCACACATACTCCTGCAATCAAACTGTAACCTGAGTCGCATTTACCACACACATAGGCATTTCCATCTGAGTTTACTGAGTAACTCAAACATCCATCTGGCATATTTACGCATATTCTAAATTTATATTAAATTCTCTACCCATTAAGCTATGTCCATCCTGTACTACAGGTTAAAGCCCCAGTTTAGTAATAATCTGTACACTGATAAAATCCTCCTTCTATTGGTTGACAAGGCTAGCATGATTGCCCTGCCCAATAGTAACCTTTTATTTAATATAGAATAATACCATTCATGCATTAATATACTTGGCGGGTTGATTAACCAACTTTCAATGCACCAGTTGCCAAACAACTTAAATATGTACAATCTAGAGGGGGTGATTATTATCCCAAAACGCCAATTAATAGAATTGAGGCAATGAGTACTTTATTCATTATTATTAAAAAAATTAATAATCAAGATATATTTTACACACTCCTTTAAAACTTCAATAATTCCATCCCCCCCCCCCTCTCCTCTTACTAGAACTTCCAAATAGGTTTCATATTAGAATCCATTTAATATCAGTACTCTCACTCTTGTTCCAAAATAAATCCCCTTTAATTCAACAACTGCACTTATTTAGTCCACTCCTTCTTCATATGCTATTTTTAATTGGATAGTAAATATTTATAATTATTATGTCTTATTATCATTCATATTTTCCAAAAAATTAGTATCATAATTTTATCATCTCCATTATTTTTATGAATTATCATTTCTCAAAGATAACTATCTCAGAATCAAATATTGCTTCATTTATAATAATTGTAATTATTTTTAAGATTTATATAGAATAAAGAAGGAAAAATGAGAATTAATTTTTCTAGTTCAAAAATAAATATGAAATATTTTTATTACAGAAGTGTGGCATCGATTTCAGAAAATAGTAGTTTATAGAATATTAAATAACATTGAACCCTTAGTTTAAACTTATAATTAGTTTTTATAAACACTTTTAATTCCACTGAACCAAATTTTAACTGTATTGTTTGGTATTTTTTCTATTTGTATTTTTTTGGAGATAATTAGTTAATCAATATATTAGTATAATAGTCGATTTACTAATTTATTAATAATGTTCAGATTTAATTAATTAACATAGCAAAATAATACTACTAAAATCACAACTATCAGTCCGATTTTCTGATGACATTTTATCTTTTGTTGCACAGAATGATAAAGTGAATATATTACAACTAGTTAATGAGTTGAGGTTAAAACTGTTTTTGGAATTTTAATTTGCTTTTGTGAATTTACATTTTTTTCTCTTCTAAATCTTACTAGTTTTTTAAAATATGACTTTCTTGCTGTAGGGTGAATACTTAGAATGAGAATGAAAAACAAATTAACCAAATAAAAATACATTTAAGAAAAAGAAAATTTTGGTAATTTGGAAGTTACCTAATTTACAGTAATATAGGTTGATGATGATGTTTGTCCAGACCTATCATTGAGAACTTTGTTAATGCTTATATCCATTTTACATAAAGGAACAGAAAGTTCAGAGAGGTTGCCTATAGATATTCTTTTAAATAATTTTATCAATTAAGATCTAAGGATATATTCTTTTCATATATTCATTTTTTTGAACAAATAAATATGCAATTTTTTCTATATTTCATCGTTCTAACAGGGATTTTGTAGTCAGGAGCCACAATTATTAATTAGCCAGGAAATTCAATACAAAACTAAGTTGTTTAGTTTCCTTAATATGCTTGTCTAAATGGCTATTTTTTTAATGGTTAGATTTGTAGCCAATGTCAATCGATGTAAAATGGATTTTGCACTTGTTCAAAGTACGGCGAATGTGATCAAATAACTTGCACAATCGGTTTTTATTTAGTTGGAAGGTATTGGCTAATTTATAATTGTATAGTTAATGTGTGTAAAACCCAGATTCCAATTGTCTGAAGGGAAGTTTAAGCTCTGATGGTAGTACAGTGATTTGTCTCCAATGCAGTGGTTTAACAACATTAATAGGTAAATATAATAGATAGAGATAGGGGGAATATGCATTGCAAATAATAATTGCTAATAATTTGATGCTACAACTGGAATCTGTAAATAATGCCAGAGTGGATATTTCACTTCTGTAGGTCTAGGTTACGAAGATAGTTAGACAGTGAGTAGTGCATATTACCTGTCAATGAATCAATGCAAATAATGTTTATCAAATTGTTTGTCTTGTTAAAACGAGTAAAATAAAGATTTTATAAATTAGACAATTGTGCAAAGTTTGTTCAAGCGGATACTTTTTATAAGAAAGTAAATGCTTTTAGTGTATAAATTATGTTGCACATTGTTAAACATGTGAAACATCATCTAAATGTACATCTTGTGATGCCGAATATTATTTAAATAATAATCAATGTTTAAGTTGTACATAATAGATCAATAATTGTTCAAGTTGTTCGCTTGATTAATCTAATTAGTTGGTGTGCTCAAAGTGTAAGGTTGGATCATATTTAAACAATAATCAATGCCCATTATGCTCAACATCAATTTCATACTGTCAACAATGTTAGAATTCAACAACTTGTCAGGGTTGCTATAAAGGATTTTATTTGAGTTCTAATATGTGCAAGATGTGTTCAGGTTCTATATCTAACTGTCTATTTTGTTCTGATTCCAATACTTGCAACACTTGTTAAGATGGTTATTATTTATAGGGTAATGCATGTATAAAATGTTCGATTTCACTTTCTAATTGTGGCACTTGTTCTAACTCTTAAAATTGCACTGGGTGCTTGCCTGGCTATTATTTAGACGGTAATAAGATTTGTTAAACTTGTTCTGGATCTATTAATAATTGTAGCATTTGTACAAATTCTACAAAATGTGATAAATGTAAAACTGGAAATTATTGGGATGGCACAAATTGTTAAGCTTGTACTGATACAAATTGTACAGAGTGTTCTAATAATTCGAGTTGCTCCACATGTTTAGTAGGGTTTTCAACAGACAATACTAAATGCACAGCTTGTTCTTCTGTTCAATGTACTACTTGTACAGGTGAAAATTATCTTTATGATGGATCATGTTCAACTTGTTCATTAGAAATGAATGGATGTAAATATTGTGGTTATGATGGCAATAATCTAAAATGCACTCAATGTGTGCCAGGATATGATTAACCTGCTTCTAATACATAACCTTGTCAAAGTGATGGAGGTGCTAATTGTAATGCTCAACAATTTCCTTATGGGAATACATGCAAAAGTTGCAGTTAAGGAATTGCACATTGTTCAGAATGTTCCTATTAAAATCAGTAATTAGTATGTACAAAGTGTGATACAGGTTATGATTTAGGTGGATCATGCGAACCTTGTCAAAGTTCATCAGGATCAGGTTCAGGCTCTGGATCATCATCAGCTGATTGTTAAAAATGTGCTTAAGGAACATATTTTGATGGTGCCTCAACTTCTTGTAAGACTTGTTCAGGCATTCAAAATTGTTCTACATGTTCTAATGCTTCTACCTGTACAAAATGTATAACAGGCTATTACTGGAATAATTCTTCATGTGTTTTATGTGCTAAAACAATTTTTAACTGTGGTGAATGTTCAGATAGTTCTACTTGTACATAATGTTTACCTGGATTCATTTTAGATGGAAACAATTGCATTCCATGTTCTTATTTCATTTCAAATTGCTTTGTGTGCAAAACCAATTCAACTTGTTTACAATGTGCTTCAGGTAATTACCTTAATGCTCAAAATACTTGTTCACCTTGTGATGACTCAAATTGCATTAATTGTAGTTAATCTCCGTCATAATGTACAGCTTGTGCTTCAGGAACTTATCTAAATGGAACTTAATGTTAAAGCTGCTCCACTATCAGTAAATGTATTGCATGTTCAACTAGTTCAAAATGTACTGCTTGTTAATCTGGCACATTTCTGAAAAATGATTAATGTCAGACATGTGATGATTAAAATTGTACTCAATGTAACTCATCATCCAATTGCACAGCATGTGTAGCTGGCTATTATGTAAATAATAATGGATGTACCTAATGTCCAAATGGTTGCACATCTTGTGTAAGTAACTCATAGTGCAATTAATGTGCAACTGGATTTTATTTGGATGGAAATACTTGCACAAATTGCACTAATTCATTAACTAAATGTTTGGCTTGTATAAGTACTTCAACTTGTACAAATTGTGATGTTGGAAATTTCCTTGATGGAAATAGTTGCACATAATGTCCAAGTACTTTGAGTTCTTGTAGTGCCTGTAAAAGTAATACCATTTGTATTGCCTGTAATTCAGGAAACTATCTTAATGGCTCTTAATGCAGCAGTTGCAATGATACTAATTGTCTTACTTGTACTGATGCAAATACTTGCATCTCCTGTGCTCCTAACTATATGGTACTTAATAATGCTTGCACAAAATGCACTGGGTATTCTGATAAATGCACATCGTGTTCTAATGGATACTGCAATGGTTGTATCGCCAATTACTTGATATAATCAGATGGAACCTGTCTAAAATGTCCTGATAATTGCTCTAAAGGGTGTATTAAAAATACATAAGCAAACGCTAATCCTACTACTTGCAACACTTGTCAAGATCAATACTATTTAACCAGTAGTGGATTATGTGCTAAATGTTAAAGTCCCTTTTTAAGATGCAGCTATGATTCTGGTACTCAATAAGTATATCCAACTTAATGTGTAGATGGCTACTTTTTAGTTAACAGATCATGCATTAAAGCCTAAGATGAAAATACATGCTCCAAATTATATTAACCTAATGATGGCACTCAAATTAACTCTTAATTATGCTAAGATTGTTGGCCATCTTATTCATAAAGTAATTAGATTTGTTATAAATGTTCTAATTGCGCTGATAATAGTTGCTCATTAGATCAAAATAATAAACCTATTTGCAGTTAATGTGTCAATTATTATTATAGTGATTCAAACTCCATTTGTTAATAATGTGTTGCTAATTGCATTCAATGCAATGCTGCAGGAATTGAAAACTGTCAATAATGTGATACTGGATATTACAAGAGTTCAAATGCTTGCATTGCTTGTACTACCGATAATAACAATAAGCCTACTTGTTTGAATTGCTCAAATGAAACCACTTGTTCTACATGTTCAAACGGTTACTTTGAATCTAATGGATAATGCTTAGCTTGTCAATATGGTTGCAATCAATGTGTATCTCCAGGCAATGCTTGCACAGGTTGTATTACTGGCTTTTATTTATAAAATGGAGGTTGTGTCAAAGATCTAGGAAATTGTTTAGAAAAATAATAGAACCAGAACAACGGTTGCTAAATCTGTGCCTATGGTTTCTATCCTATTAAGGGTTGGCTATCATAATAAGGTTAATCACAAGTAGTTGATACTTCTTGTTTATAATGTGTCAATCCTTAAGCAGCAGTACATATTAATTATTATCTAGTTTGTTTGTCGAACTAACCCATCAGACAACCAATTTACGAGTGCTTCTTACGGATCCATTCCTTCATTAAAAAATTTAAATTATTTTAAGACTGCTGCTCCTTTAGGATCAACGAGACAGACAAGTCCATAATGTAAACTTGGATCTTTCTGGACTCAACAAAGTTGCATGCCTTGCCCAACAGTAAATAATGGAATTTGTAGCAGTTGTAATAACTTTACAAGTTGCACTTAAATTTAATGTAATGTTTAGTATCAATTAATCACAATCAAAAATGTTTAATAATGCGCATAAATACCTACAGGATGTACAGATATTTAGTATTCTGACAAAATGATATCATTGGCATGCACTAAATGTAGTGCTGGATACACTTTAATTGGTAACATTTGTATATCAGTTAATGGATGTTTGACAATTGATTAGAATAATGGAGCTTGTTCTTCATGTATTAATGGCTATTACTTTAATTGGGATTTCGTATTAACAAGTCCCAACACATAATTGTCAATTAATACTTATTACTATCAATATTTCAATCCATTTTGTAGTAAATGTAATGCAGGTTGTGCCATATGTCCATCATAATACACTTGTACTCAATGTTTACCTGGATACTTTTGGTATCAATCAACCCTAACCACAAATCCATATTCCTTTAAGAGTTATACAAATGCCTAAACAAATGCCTCTGGCCAATGTGTTGCATGTCCTAAAAATTGCTAAACTTGCACGAGTGCAACTGTTTGCACAGCCTGCAATACTAATTTTACTGTAGATCCTAATTCAACAAATGGAGATTGCATATGCTCTTCGCCTTATACTTACAATTAAACAAATTAAAGTTGTACTTTACTATCTTCTGGTAATACTACTTGCTCTTTTGGAGGATGCATCTAGTGTAATTCTGATAACACATAATGTCAAGCATGTAGACCTTAATATGCATTAACAGGTCCAACATCATGCACTTAATGTTTGAATTGCAACTAGTGTTCTCTTTAAATTGGAACATCAAATCCAACTTGTTTAGAATGTGCTGATGGATATTATAAAGTTTAAGCATATGATGGAGCTCCTATCACTTGTTAATTATGTTCACAATCCTTGAATAATTCTTTAAGATGCTAAGGTGTCTTAGAAAATCAAACTCAATTAACCGTCATCTAATGTGTGGATAACTACTTTTTATTTGGAAATGCTTGCTATTAAGTTGGAAACTCCAATTGCTTCACGATCTCCAATACCAATAGTCAATCTTGTCAATAATGTCTTCCTGGATACACTTTGTATGGAAATAATTGCGATCAATGTAATACTAAGATTCTAAATTGTTTGACTTGTATTTCGAATTTGGATCAGAGTGGATTAATCTGTCAATCATGCATAAATGGATATGTTCTGAATACTAATACAAACTCCTGTCAATAATGTCCTCCTGGATGTTAAACCTGCAAAGTTACCGGTACTGATGCTCCATATACACTTTCCTGTAATACTTGTGCTGATGGAAATTATATTGACGGTAATGGAAATTGTTGGGGATGTCCTTTTGATTGCAAATCATGCGATTCAAAATATGTAATAAATTTATTCTCTATCATTTAGAATTGTAATACTTGTAAGGATGGGTATTACTTAGTACAATCTTCAATCACATTCAATACCAAATCATATGTATTTAAACCTTGTTATCCATGTTAAAATAATTGTGCAACCTGTACAGGACCCACTGGAAACATTTGTTAAACTTGCAAAGCTGGATTTGTTCTTCAAAATGGAGGCTGCATTGATTTAACCTTGAAAATACAAAATGATCAAAATAACTATAGTTTGGCTAATTGTTACTCCTCTGATTCCACAGGTTGTACAGTATGCCTAGCTGGATTTTTCTTAGATTCCTAACGAGTTTGTCAAGAATGTGTCTCTCCTTACAATAACGTATTCAATTTCTCATTATGACTTAGTTTGTCTGTGGCCTCAAGGCAGTATCTTCGACTACACCAACTGATAATACAAGTGGCTAAACCGATACAAGCAATCCAAGCAGAAATACAACTACAAATTAGATTGAGATAGGTTACAATCCAACCTAGCCAAGCAGTCTGAGTTAAATATTGGTAGCAATACTAATTCATATGATATAATGAGAAGTTTAAAATAAATAAGATATAATATTATATAAGAAATTTTATTCAATGGTCTCACTCAGCCCCCAATGATATTCAATATTTATGATATTTTATGGTAATATGCTATATGGATTAGCAATAAAATTAAGATTGAAATTAATAATATTAATGTTAATTATTAAAAATTCTTAATCATTATGTTTATGAACAATTTAATTTTTAAATTATAAATTTTAAGTCAATATAATTTTGGAATTGTAAAAACAAAGTAAATGATAATAGAAATCTTTAAGCAAAAAAAATAAATAATCTAAATTGAAGTACTCAGAAACTACGATCTATTTAGATTACCTTTCTCTAATCCACACAACTATTATAAATATCAATTATCTTTATTATCAGATTTTGATGAAAATAATCTGCTGATTATCTTAGCCTATGGTTTTCTCTACAGAAACGATCGGCCTTTACTCTAAGAGAATCCTTACTGAGTTCCTTAATTCGGAGAATGAATTTAAGGTAATACATCTTGAGATTCAGCATTATTTAACTTAAACTAAATTTTGCCTTGTATTTGTTGACCTCCCGACTCTCGCATAGTTTCTTAAGCAGTTTTTGATTTCCTCATGAGAGAATCATCGGGTTGAGCATATGGTATTTCATTTCCTGGTATAGTTTGTTTTGATGAATTAGTTCTGATGGCTGTTTCTTGTTAAGAGATAGGTCCATACCCATAAGGAATGTTTTAAGCTTATGACAATTTAGGTTAGATTTGAGGGAGAAATGCAGTAGAATTACTTTTTCTCAAAAGGTCGTTTAAATTCTAACGATTATTGAAACGATCAGATTCAAGCAGAGACTTTTTGTAGCTGGGGAAGTCCATTTGATTGGATGATAGTCTCACATTGTCTTATTCATTTTGTTTGGTGTGAAATTGGACTCTCACAGCAGAATCGGCAGTATTGGAGGAGCCTTCAATTTTAGATCGAAGCACACGTGAACCCACTATATTTTAATGTATAGGTTTCTGAGGTTATGCTTCTTTTTATTAATATATGTGTATGAATTCATCACGAATGTCAGTTTCCTTAATTCGCTTGATCTATTCTTGATAAGTAACTTTGTTGCGTGATTCATATAGTTACGGAGGAGATTGAGGCTTTTAACTAAAACCTTTGATAACTTTGACAGGAGAACTAGATATAAGATGAGTGGGTACGTGATTTTTGCTGGCTATGCATTTAGCTTGTTCTGAATAATTTACCCATTATTTCGTTTGCCAAGACTCTACTGAGATTCAAGTTGAGTAAGACGAGTTTAAGCAGGTTTAAATGTGTATTCCATTTGTGGTCTTCCTGATCCCTTGGAACTAGTTATAGAATTTTTTAGAGTTGATTGGTTGGGATTGAAAAAAGTGGCTGTTTATTTGAATGCATCCTAAAGTCTGGAATCATCAAAACAGTCCTAGTATTCATAATGATTCATTATTTTAAATTATATATAAAAATGTTTAGAAATAAATATAGTTGTGAAGCAAACTTGGAGATTTCATTAATATGAAATTAAACCACTTCATACTGAAAAAGTAAACAAAATTTGCATTAATCCTATTCAAAACTTGTAATTCTCAGAAGCTATAATCAAAATAAGGAATAAATTTTAGGACATCCATTAATTTATCAACAGTAAATTAAAAAGAAGTATAGAGGATAGTTCAATCAATCATTTTATTTTCTAAATGAATTTCTATAAATTTCAGTAAAGTATTAATTATGTTTTAATTTTTTAACAATTGCTAATATATAGTAAAAACAATTTATTTATTCTCTCATTAAGGAATATTTTAAAAGTGATTCCTCTCTCTTGATCAAGAATTGTGCCATTATTTTTAGAATAAACCCTAAAACTGAATGTATGAATAGGTTCTTATGAAAAATTATGATTAAGATCTAATTTATTATTGGAATAATAGTGGTATTATAATTGAGATTGCTTTGGTTTAAAATTCTTTACGTAATGTAAAAGCACATAACCTTACAGAAGTTTGATATAAATGAGATCATAGTTTCAGTGTTGAAATATTTCTCAGTATATTTTTTGGTATCTAAATCGTGATTTTATCTTGAATAATACTATTTCATACCTTGAATATTTATTAACTTATTTTTAATTCATTATTAAAGGTAGATCGGGGAAAAATAAAGCTCGGTATTATTTACAGGGTTTATTTAGTTTCTTAATTCTAAAATAATTTAAGTGATTATGTTTGAATTTCCATACACAGTATTGAATTCTCACTTTCTTATTAAGAAATCAAAAAAACAATAATTTATTATCGAAATGAAAAGTCTAGGGTACAATCAACTCCAGCTAAGTCAGAAGATTATCAAAACAGAAGGAGATGATTCTGAAATGCTTTTGCCAGAATCGGATAAAGATGAACAAGGATAAATATTAAATACAGAAGAAAGCAGAGGAAAGCCAATGAAAGAACTTAGATTTAGTCTCAAAAATCAAGTTTGGATATTTGATAGGAATCAAAAAAGACATCAATCATACAAATCCCCTTCTCCGGTAGGAACCAAATCTTCGCCTTCCATTTTAAAAAATAAAAATGCAATAACGAAATAATTAAATCATGACCATATTATTTAAACCAATTAACCACAATGAATCTTAAGATTAAAGTTAAATGCTAAACTCTATCTTCAGAAACTAAATGTATTTTTATATAAAACATAAAAATGAATTTTAGACTATTAATGTGCGAATTGATTAATAAATAATTAATAATTGTCTCTCAATATATTTAACAGTTCAAAATCAATTCGATTTTTTTAATTGTTTTCTCAATAACACTTACTACACCTCAATTTGCATACAACCTTGATCTATTTTATCCTTATTCTTTTTAAAAATCGTTGAAGCCTGAAATTCAGATCGGAACTCATTCTAAAAATAAATAGAATATCACATTATTACTTGATGCAAGGATATTAATAATTAAGCTAATAAATTTGGCTTTATGTTCTCCTTTAATTACTCCCACAATAAGTCTATTTTTGAAGCTTCATTTTAAATAACTTTAATTTCTTCTTTGATTTTTTTAAATGAACTAAAATAGCAAACAATTCATACTCTGTTATGTTTTATTTTGATAACCCTATCTTTAATTTAATTCTCTCATTATTAATATAGTTTTCAGGTTTCATCTCTATATTTCTCAATATATCTCTTAGAAATTCTGAAACATTTCTATAATGTTTTTCAATACAAATACTTCTAATTTTAAGAAAAGAAATCTCGATCGTCTAGAATACTGAACAAATATTTTGCTTGCAAAGGCAACGAAACATCCAAAATTGAATATGAATGTGCTTTTGCAGCATCAATTCTCTCCTGTTTATTGGAAGATGTTCTGTATTTCAATGCATCCAAAAGAATTTCAATTTCAGTATCATCCTTTCCTTGTGTCATACATTCTTCTAACCTTTCAAATAATTTCTACTGCTAATTTAAAAAAGCTTAGAACTAATTAATTTCAGTAATAAGTACCTTATCCTATTGTCTATTATAAGTTTCAATTGACTTTTATAAACTGTTACATTATTATCTCAATTTATCATTTTCATCCTGCAAATCTTTGACTCTAATCTCCAAGAGTTCATAATAAATCTTCTTGCGAGCCCTTGAATTTCTTGCAGATTCTCTATTCCTCACCTACTTGAGTCTATTTGGATCTAAATTGCCATAATTAATTGAATCTGGAATTTCAGAAGATGACTAATCACTGTGTTCAACATGAAGACTTAGTTGTTATTCATTTTTCCTTTCCATTTTCTGCTAACTTCTTCTAAATCAAATCAATAAATATGATTACGATTATCTTATTTTTTTAGTTACAATCAATTAATTATTAGCATCTTTCTTAACTAGATTTTATATTTTATTTGAGTAAATGCACTTTGTTTAAGCTATAATTTCAGATTGTAATTATTCATTTAACTTGCTTTAGTGTTTTTTAGTACATTTTCCTAACAACAATAAATTAACAATTTACTTTTGTTCTGATTTCTCTGATCATTTTAGCTTCCATCTCTTGAATTATCCCCATCACTTCCACTTCTTGCTTAACCTTCGAATGAACTGTCGTTTTTAATATGTAATCTATCCATTCGTTAATTTTCAGATTAAATGGCTCTGGACATTTAATCAGTTCTATGATCAACGTCCTCAAAAATCTAAATTTTAGGGAGTTACTATTCCACATGGACTTGAGTAGATGGGTCAAGCTAAGCAAAAAATACTATATTCTAATTGACTTCACATGATCTAAAATACTTGTATAATTGGTTACTCATTGTAAAAATATTGCTCTCGAATTAAAGAATCACTCATAAATTATTTGCTATAAATTAAATAACATTATGTCAATTATTTAATCCAATCATTATCACAAGATGATTGTAAATAATAGATTTTTTAGTTTTATATTTTTCAGTATTTGCGTAAGATTAATTAAATTTAACATCATTTAATTAAAATGACAACATATTCACATAATTAAATAAATTAATTAATTTTGAATTAAATTTAAATTAAACTTATCTTAATATTTATAGTTCTCTTATCATCACTGCTATTCAAAAAGATTCTCAGAAAATCATAAACCATTATAATAAATGAAGAATAACCATATATTTCTTATTTTCTAAAATTAACTTTAAAACGTTATATTAATTGTATCACTAGTTGATAAATAATAAAGATAAATTATTTATCTCCTTTTAATTGATATATTCTATTTACTTAAGTTCTGTTTATAAATTAACAAATGTAGTTTCAAAAAAGAACAATGTCAAAAACCATTGCCTAACTTCTTTTAGATAATGGGAGAATAAACCTATGGCAAATATTCTAATTAGAGATCATGATCTCTAATATTATAGATATTAAGAATGAAGGCATAGGAGATAAATAATTATACAAATTTTATTAATCTTAATATTCTTATAATCTATATAATAAGCACTTTCTAAAGATAAATTTAATTTTCTTTCTCATCTATGCAGATTATAACCAAGTTTATTCATCCAATGATTTAAAATTTCAATTGATAATTTTTGGTATTAGTTTTATACTGCGATAAAATAGTTTCTTGATAATTTAAAAAAGAAAATTTTTCAGATCAATAAATTACTTTTTAAAGAGAGCTTAGCATGCTTTTTTGAGATGGGTTATCGATAAATAATGATCAGCTGATTTTCTTTTTAACGCTTTTATTGAGATTAATTTTATGAATTTTTTTTAATATTGCATTAATAAAAATAAATATATTATAAATACTAACTAAACTCATCCTTGATTAAAAAAAATACTTTTTATTTTTATATTGATAATTTAAAAATGAATTGTATACTTATATGTTGGCTTAGCAAACAAGAAATTAATGAAGAAAATTATATAATATGTAGATTTATATACTCTTTTTTATCCTTGATTAATTTTTAATAAGAATTTGGAGTCCTAATAATTAGGATTGCTTAAAGTTATCAACTTAAAATTTGAATGATTTAACCCACGACGACTTTGCTTTTATTTCAAAATGATTTGAGTATAGATAGCTTTGTTAGTTGAAAGTTGCTATATACTGTTGATGGAGATTTTGAGTATAATTATAAATTAATTTTTTTGGTATTAAAGTATTATGAAACTTATCATTAGACATTTGATAAGATATTGATTTCATGTTGAGCAGTGCAACCGAATGATTCAATTGAGAATAGTTTAGAGAACTATGTGTATAGTTTATATTTCAAACAATATTTCATTCATCCCATTCGCCAGACATCCCCTTCCTTAGCTTTAAGATTAAGCAACTATCGTTTGGAACAGCTTAGTCTTACAGATTGGCTTTGTCATCTAATAGCTAGTTTTAGATGTATCTACTCTCTTACTCTATCTCCTAAATAGATTCTCATATCCTGGATTTCCTATTTGTAGTAAGGTAGCAATTTCCTTTTCAATATTTCCACTGGATCAAGTAGTGAGCACTCGAAAAAGAATACTCTATTTTCTCTTTTAATTCTCAAATATATTTTTAATGGTTCCATGTGAATTATTAAAATAAATAAATTATGAAAATCACAAAAGTGGTTGAATGGAAACCCATATACATTGATCAGAAGCTTATGGAGCTGTTGCTACAACCATTTTCGTAGATAAATCATTTTAGTCAAGAGAAGAAGAAGTCAGTCAACAAAGTTTAAACATCATCATTTGCTTATAATTCTATGTTAATTTAAGATATCAATTGTCTCAGTGAGTTGGAACAATTGAATGAAAAAATAGTGGAAAGACTTTGTAGGGACATGAATAAGTGTGATTAATTTTATAATTTACATCAATAGCAAATATAAGTGAAATTAAGAAAGTTGATATATAACATTTTCATTTATCAAGATCTGCAGAGAGTGGATGATATTAAATCGAAATTGTACATCCTGAAGCAATATTCAGAGATGTTGTTTTTAGAATGCAACTTATTGGAATAATTCGCATAGTTTAATGATATTGTTATTAAAAAGGTTCTGAAAAAGTACAAAAAGTAAGTATTCATATAAGATTCCTAATACAATTTACAGAAGATGCAGAGTATTTATAGTGAGTTATCAATATTCAATAATCGTCAGGAGATTCAAAAGATACAAGTCAAATTAAAGTTGCTTTACTCTCGTTGTCTCTCATCTAAATAGAAGAATTAGAATATTCGCAAACTTAAATACCATAATATTTACAAGGGATTTACAAGAAAGGAGCAATTATTAATTGGCTTATATTTGGGTGGTTCTTTTTGCTTATTGTTATACATCATGTCGAAGAGAAACTAGTTAAATAACAACTTTTACTAGAAGTATGAAATCAAAATATAAATAGTCAATTTTATTATGATTTATACTTTCCCATGTTCAGAGGGATTGGGTTAATGATTTTATATTATTGGTCACTCATATTTTGTGTATATTGTTGGATTAGAGGCAATGTTGGATATAGATCAATATTTAATTTCAAATATCATAGCTCGTCAATTAATTAATTGATCAAACGAGCTGCCTTCATAACTTTAGTATATTTTGCAGTGTTAATTGTCAGTTTGCAAAAGGAACTTTACCTAGAAGAGGAAAAAGATATTAATAAATATCTCTTAGATTACATAACAGATAAAATAGCATATGATCCTGCAATAGGTCCATTCGTATTATGGATTATCATGATAATCTATATGGTTTGGCCTTCAAAAAAGTACCTGAATGCTAAAGGGAGAAAATACTTTTGGAGGATTGTTTATACAAGTCTATTGGCAGGGTTTTTTGACTGCCCCTTTGTTAATGGTTGGGCAACAGACTAATTGCTATCATTGGTGTTGATGCTTAAGGATTTCGGTTATACAGTATGCTTTTATTTTGAATACTTCAAGAATATAAGTGATTATGAATCTTAAGCTACTTGTGGTGATCCCAAAAATCTGCAGATAGGTTTAATAGTATGCTTGGTTCCTATTTTCTTGAGGTTTGTTCAATTAGGGAGATGTTTCTATGATGCAGGGAAGATAACTAGAGATGACTTCTTTGTCGTTATAATATATGTGGAAGTTACGATGGTGAATGTGTTCTCATATTTATCGCAATTTGGATAGATTTACTTTATAATGTGGATAATTTCTTTCTGCACACTTGCTTGTCATGCTTATTTTTGGGATGTTAAGAAGGATTGGGGTTTGTTTTAACCGAATACAAAAAATAACAAACTTAGAAATTAATTAGCATTTAAACCTATCTTCTACTATATTGCTATAGTTTTGGAATTCTTTCTTCGTTTTGCTTGGATTCTTTCGATATCACCAAATATGGCATCAATCATCCATGTTTGGTCGCCGTTCTTCTCTTTAATCATGGCCATTTTTGAGTTGTGTAGAAGGACAGTTTGGAATATATTTAGAATTGAGAATGTTCACATATAGAATATGGGAGATTTTAAAGCAGTCTATCCAATCCAACTGCCATTTGAATCGTTGATTGATTAATAGTCTTATGCAAGCATTAAAGAGTTGAGAAAAACACAGATAGACCCAATCAATATTTCATTGTTAAGTGGCTAATAGAACTAATAATCTGTTGCAGGGTAATACTTTTAATTTAGGAATTCATTGAGATCCGATTCATTAGAAGATGAATCAAAATTAAATTAATTGTAACAGTAGGAGTAGGATTTAATGGCTGAAACTATGTTTGAGGATAGAAAGAGAGAAAGTATTTTAACTATGCGATATTCTCAATTTAAGATTGATCATCAAAATGAGAAATAGACTCTGAGTAAACAAGAATTACTAAGAGATCTGTCAGCAATTTAGGAGTTGATCAAAAAGATGAATTGAGTATATCAATTATTTAAATTATTATCTATTAAACATACTTGATGAGAACAATTAAATTTAAATGACTATTAATTATTATAACTAACAATTGTCAATGATCCTTGAACATTGGGGATGAAAACAAAGTCTTTTAGTATTATTCTTTTCTCTCGTCCTAATATACATAACGCATTTTAGTATCTTGTATTTCTTTTTCATCGTCATAATCGCTAAGATGTTATTAATCATCACACATATTTATTTGGTGGACTGAGTCTTTTATGTCCTCACTATCCTACAAATTCATAATGTCCTCTCTGACACATGTATCAGGAACTTCAAAATTAATTTAATTTAAACTTTATGAATCCTATCTCTTTGTATCTGGCGTCTCGGCTGCTACTTTTTAATGGCCCTGCAGTATCTATTGATAAAACCTAAAATTGTGTAATGTAAATAGATAAAATAAATATACTATTGAGTATTCGATTGGCTATTAGAAATTCTATTAAGGAATGATTTAAACTTCTCACTTCTAGCTGGAGAAATTGCAGTCGATTCCTTCTTGATCTAAATGTTGGGTTCTTGGGAATCCTCATTTTCGAAAAGAGTTCTGAAAGTACTTTTTTATTTTTGAAATGCTTCCTTTGGGACAGTCTCATTTTGGTTATTAGCAAGAGCCATAAATTCTTAGTCTTGATTGGGGTTTATTCTTTAAACAGATTCTTTTGTTTGCCCAGAAGCAGGACTATGAGGTGCAGACTTTTAAGAATCATGAGACATATTGAGTGATTCCTCCAGTATGTCTGCATGAGATCCTTTGTAAGATTATAAAATCATTATGGCTTATTATTTCGAAGCCTTGTCATCCTCATTACAATTGGCTTACTTATTTTTTTCCATTTCCAAAGCATTCATAAATATTTCTTTATTTTCAAATGAAACATAAAGATTGTTGTTGTGAGATTAAAATGAGGGAATCATTTTTTAGGTATCCTTTACATTTTAGTTGATATCTGTTTTCTCATTGAAGTAGGAGCAGAAATTTTGTGATTTAGCATCTGAATTCTTCTTTTAGTTACTGAAATCAGTTTTGATTCGTTAACTAATTGATTCCTCACTCTTTTTAGGAGGAGTGGGTTGGGTTCTGATGGGTTGAGTGACATTTAATTACTAAATGTTTGAAATCAAGGGCATGGCAGATTCAATAACCTCAAAACTATGTATACTTTAATTCAATACTTCTATGCAATCAATGATAAGGTGGATTGGATATCCATAGATCCCATGGAATAGAGTTAAATGTATTGGTTCTGAATCTCCTATTGAAACTCACCAAACTTAGAGAATTTAGCATGATGTTGATTCATAACCTCTCTGAATACTGTCATATCCATATTCTCCAAGACTCTCTTCCAATTGCTTTCGATCTCCGTTTAGATCTTTTTATTGTCGAGTTAGTTCGTAGTCAATTATTGGATTAGTTTGGTAATAAAGGATAAGGTTTATTATTTTGAATTGGACAATTAGTTCATACTTCTCTGATATATCTCTTCCAAAAACAATGACAGCTGTTATTTTGCTTCCTAACACAATTTCATTTATTTGTCATAGTAATTTTGAAGCTTATTGCCTTAGCTTGATAACTAAGTAAGTAAGTCTTGTCTATTGTTTTATATTTAATATAATAAGGCTAGGAAGACCTTCATTTCCCTTTCTTTGAATTAGATATCCACTGATGATGATTACCTTTGCGTTGAATCTAAGGAACTTTATTGAAATGAAAAGGTTTAAGAATCAATTGTAGATTATTTTAGTTATGCGATTTCAGTAAAGAACATGCCTTTGCCAGCCAATTTGACCGCGCATTTAGAACAAAAAAAGAGATAGTCATTGCCCTCCTCTGTTACATATTTAGCCTTCTTATCTTTATGATAGATACAGAATCTCTGAGATTATTAAGGAGGCTTTGCAAATGGAGATAGAGTTTTAACTCCAAATTGTAAATGCATTCCAATACTATCTCCAATCTATCATTTAATAATAGATAGTACACTTGATGCTTGCTCAGAATTACTAAAAGCACTTGGCGATCCTAAATTAAGGATATGGGATTGATTTTCTTTGTCAAATTACATTATTTTCATACATTACAATTATTCTTCAACAACAGATTTACTTTTACTATGCTCTGTATTTTATGAAGTAGTAGTAAACCTTTTCGGAGTTGGAGTTATTGCGGCAGGTTCAGATCTCTTTGATTCTTGCAGAGATTATTGATGATGGTTTCTAGATCCATAAGAGAGTGAGTTTGTAGAACTATGTCCTTTAAGTTTTTGCTATTAAATCTACTATTAGATGGATAAATAAGGACCGAAATGGCTATTTTTTTATTTTTAATTGCTTCCATTTCCTTTAGGGGATGATACATCTGTTTCTAATGATGATACATATATTGTACTAAAATGATTTGAAAGTAATTAAGCTACACTCTCTTTGATATCTAAGGGAGAGTGAGATTTAAATGAATGCTTAGTAGTAATCGGAGTGAAAATAAGTTGCTAATCCTGAGATTATTGCTTTTTAGATAATAAATGATTCATATCTGAATCAGGCTTAGTATTTTTGAGCAATTATCTTATGGCATCTGAATTTGGAGAGTAATCTCTTTTTTTATTTGGATGATTAATGGCTGATAATTTTTCCTAAATAGACTCAATATGCGAATTGCTTTTATTTTAAAGTGACATATTAGATTTATGATTGGACTATTGAGGTTTCTATGATGGCTTCGTGCAATAATTTTATTATTATGGTGGTGATTGTCTGTTATCGATTCCTTCATTGTTTTTTCGCTCAAAACAATTGACATGCAATTAAACTGGAATGAGTTGCTGAAGCTTATTTTTATCAGGCAACTTAGAAAGTTAGGAAGCTATAAATTGTTATGTTTGAGATGTCTTAGTTTGATGTGATACTTGCTAATTCATTTGTTTTAATATATTTTAACAACGATAATTCAAATTCAAATTTAATATAAATAGTTAGGGTTCATTTACACTCATCATTAAATTAAAATTAATTAACTTCTATATGCTTCTTATTTGAAGACAACTTGCCACTACCTATTTCGTTTGTTTCTTCAGGTATACAATTGGGATCATCTTATGGAGTTTTGTGTTGGCCATACTATTTCATTGTAGGCGTTGATTGTGTTTTATTGATATTGTGTAATGAAAATTAGGATCGCAATTTTCTCATTTCCTTTCGCTTTTGAATACTAGACTCTTATGCACTCATACCTGCCTCGATTTGCTATTGAATAGATGTTTAATTTTTAATTACCTACGATATTCGTCTTTCCTGCTTTTTAAATTGGCTAGCTATTTCCTTTGCTCTGCCTTCTGTTTAAATTATGATTTATTCTTCAATGACTTAATTTTGAATCTCTTTAATTTTCTCTTCCTTCTCTTATTCTATTATATTTTTTTAATGAATGTTTTCTTCTTCCTCTTCCTCCCCACTGTGACTGCTCTCTGTATTTTTTATTATCTTACTAAAGCTTTAACTATTGGGATTCTTGTTAATTGTAGATCCGCATTAAAAAAATTTATCAACTACAGGTTCTTAAAAACTAAATGAAAGTAAATTATTGTCTGGCTTTTTAGAGGTCTTGGGTTTATTCATAAAAGAATAAGAAGGTTACACAACATTTATTTTTGGCACTTCGATTTTTTTCTTTTCTGGAGGTGTACTCTGTTTAGCTTATTCAGAAGGCTATAAAATGGATGGGTTAGTAAATATGTTTTTTAACTTTATTTCAAAGTATTCATGGGCTCTGTCTTCGCATTCTTTGTAAAACTCTACCCCTTACTTATGTTTTTAAAATGCATTTTTTACCATGTACAACTAAATCAAATTTTTAAGAGCTTCGTTATTGGTGTAATTGCTGAGCACTAATACGATGTCGTTATTTAAAATCTACGAGGCGAAGTCGTCAGGCAGTGCTTTACTTTGCTCATGAAATTATCACGAAATAATACTTGGCACTTTGAATTCACTCTGACTTGTGGTTCGAAACTACGATAGGAACAGCAAATGATACCATCTTGGAGAGAAGTTATGACATATGCGAATTTTATATATTTTAAATAATTATATAATTTAATATATATTTCTATAAATTATGATTTTTTAAACATATCATTACACATCAAGTTTGTTTTTATTTTCGAACATTTTTTCATATACCTATTCATCGTTACACAATTTTCTTCTTAGGATGGTCTAAAAGGATTTAATATTGTCTTACTGTTTCAATAAATGGATTGAACTTTGAGAAATGAGATCTGCATTAACATGCATTTCTTGTTTAAATTTCCTCGGCCATCATTTTAAATACACGATTTAACTTTTTATGAACAGTTGTTTTAAATAGGTCATGATGCAATCTAACAAATTACAAGAACTTGTAGTGTTCTTCATTTGACCAGTGGCCTAAATATCGGATGAAACATCATACCTCTTTATTTTTTCACTTTTTTCTTTGAATCTGGATCACCTTTCAAATTAGTTTGTTCAATTGTATTTTAAGTCTTCATCCTCTCCAAACTTTAAATATCCACGTAATTTTAGATATCATTCACTTAGTGTGGATTGTTGGCATAAGTATTGTGTAAATCTTATTATGGAAGGCTTTAATATTCCACTTGGTAGGACAGAATTTATTGCTACTGGTTGTTCATCTAATACCAATAAGGAAGTTAATTATATTGGTAATATTGCCAATAGTCTATTTTAGATTTATGGATGCTTACTATTTTATTAGGAATTCTGATAGTAAGAGTAATATGGATTCATTATCAATGTTTAAAGAGAAATGTTTTTTTCTAAAAAAAACTTAATAATCTAGAATACGTAAATTAATTAGGATTTATATACAATATTACCGGACAAATCCCCTGAAATTGCCAAAAAATTAAAAATATTATATAATATTAAAAGAAAATCAAATTCAAGGAATTCTAGCAGTCTGGTTCATGTTATTTGTCCTAACAGTAGAGGTATTTTTGACTTCATATACAGTTTGGGTAACAGTTGGTTGTGTTTATTGCCTTTTTTTAATTGATTGCAATTCTGCCTCAGCCAGAGCCAATTTTTCTTATACTTCAAAGTATTTCTTATTTTACTCTTCAAACTTCTTTTTCCATTGATTTGCTTCCTATTTTAAAATATTTCATATATATATACATTAACATAATGAGTTACGTAAGTCTCCGTTTTTGATTGGGATGACTATTAATTTTATAAAATAGTTTCCATTTCTTCATTTTTTTCATTCAGCTCTTTAATTTACTGATCCTTTTCTAAAAATGTTCTTTGCACTTTTCTTAATTCCAACTCTAATTTAGCAATCTAATCTTTGTATTATTAAGCTTTATTATCTTGATTCAATTGAACCTACAATTATAATTGATTGTGCTCTTAATATAAATTTTCGTAATCTTGATTACTTTACTTTAGTTTGAGTTGCAATTATTCAATTTGTTATTATTATAAATTTATTTTATTCTAAAATTCTGTAGGATTGATAATTTTAGTTTTGAGTAATCCATTCTCTCTATTGAGATTATCAATCACTTATCTTAATCTACTCATCTCAGTATTCAATTGAGTTAATCTACTGTCCTTCTCTAATGATTCGGTTTCAATATCCTAGAATCTCCCCTTCCATCTCTCCATCTCATTATTCTTCTATTCATTCAACACATTAACTCTTTCAACCTCAGTGGTCATCAAAGCTAGTTTGCTCTGCAATTCCCTAATTTACTACTCCTTAGTTTTTTGTATCACACTACTTTCTTCATTGAATCCAAAAATCTTAAATTCAAGATCCTTGTATTTCTTTTGCCATTCCAATACCAAATCCTTTTGCATTTTAATTTCGTGATTCAAAATGATATTAGTCTCTTGCAAATCTACAATATAAGAATATTAATTACCTCTCTTAGTATTGGCTAATTCTTGTTCTACTCCATATTAAAATCTAACCTCAGCTTCGAAATCAGCGTATCTCTTTTTCCAAATATCAATTTCTTATTACAACTCAAAGGCAATTTTCATATATTTTTGTATCTCATCTCTCAGTTGATTAATTCTAGTGACATCCTCTCCAATTGATATTTTCTCAGTTGCTTGAACACTTCTCAGCTTAATATTCTCCATCTATAAACTATTCAATTGATTTTCTAATTTTTGGATCTGTTCTTAATATGCTCTGTCCAATTCATCTCTCTTAATCACTTGAACTGGATGTTCACTAATGTGTATCTCCTCTATTGTGGGTCTGACAGGCAATTAGATGGGTTGCACTGAAGTTAATTGTGGTCTAATATATGGCGATTGATTAATGTATGAAGGTATTGGCTTTTATGGTGAAATCAATTAAGGTTGCAAGATCTATGGTCTTATGGGAGAAACAAATGAATTCACATTGTTTGGAGATGTAGTATAAGCCATTGTTTATTGTTCTGGTGAAGCATAGGGTTTAGACGGCGATTCATAGGTCTTCATTCCTGTCATTGGAGTGAGGTGATGCAAATGTTAATCATTGCCTGAGGGCATGTATTATTGTTGTTTCTAATCGGAGTTTCTATAGAGTGTAGGTCGTTGTTCAGTGGTTATGCTATCATACATTAGTATTTTATTTGTTAAATAAATTTTTATTTCTAAAAAATTAAAAGAACTCATATTTATAATGAAAAAATCGAGCGATCTGACTATTGTAAATATTTTTTATTGACTTCATTAGAAAACTACAAACGAATCAGAATCTCGGAAATTTAATAGCTTCAATCCTAAAACTCCCCTGCAAGCTACCTTTAATCGTACTCATATTCGACATCCAATCAAGGAGTACTTTCCAAATAAACAATACACTCAACACACTCAACATACCTCAATTCAAAATACTCAACCAAGCATTAAGTCTCCGCCCAATTCAAAACCTATAAGTCTTGCTAATGCTTGTACTAAGTTTGATTTAATTTAGTATCTCTTCTGTCGAAAGATGAAACTAACCCTACTAGTAGACGCAATAGTCGCAGATTACATACAAATCAATTGAAGAATATTTTAGCATAGGAAAAGGTCTCCCTTGATAGTGTTCGTAATTAATTTCAATTTATTTTTAGGTTTCAGCACTCAATTTTAAAATCCGTAGCCTATCATCTAATTATTCACACAATATAATTCGCCCAAAAAGAGTTTAAAGACTAGTCCAGATAATAAGCATCCCATTATCCAGGAGACATTCAAAAATCGCATATCTCATAAATTGTCAGGACATATGTAGGAAAAAATGGAATAGATTCCTTAAATTACTTCTGATTCTGTTAGATAGAGAATATCAACCCTAAAGCAAAAATTACGAGGGAATATTTAGTAGAGATATTATAAGTTCAATAACAACTTTACTATTCAAAATCCCAACTCATTCAAAGAAGATATAGAGTATAAATTCGTAAAATAGCCAAAACCATAATTACCATAATCCCCTCCTGTTGTCCTAGAACACTATTAATCATAATTGACTGAATTTGAAAAGAACGAAATTAAAGATATTGAAACAATCTATTATTTGAGACCTGAAAATGTAACATTCCCTCAAGAAACTGAATTCAACAATGGATTTGATACAGACAAGTATCATTAATATTAATATCACATAGAGGCGATTATATATTTAGAGAACATGACCATATCATATATCGTTATGAGATGTTAGAATAATTAGGACATGGCAGTTTTGGATATGTATTTAAAGTTTTGGATCACAAACATTCGTAAACTGTTGCTTTAAAAGTAATAAAAAATAAGGAGAAATTTCAAAAACAAGCATATATTGAAATTGAAATTCTTAAGGTGGTCAATAAAGCAGATAATAGTTGTTGCCTAATCAAAATGCTAAATTATTTTGTTTTTAGAAATCACGTAGTATGATAGTCATCATTATTAGAGTGTATGGTTTTTGAATTATTGAGTTGCAATCTTTATGAATTCTTGGCAATTAATGAATTCTAAGGATTTGAGCTTGATTTGGTCAGAAGATTCGCTATATAAATATTGTAGGCACTTTTGTACTTATCCGAATGTAATATTATACATTGCGATCTCAAACCTGAAAACATTCTATTGAAGGATATCACAAGATCTGGTATAAAAATAATTGACTTTGGATCTAGTTGTTTCATTAATTCTAAATTATACACCTACATTTAGGTAAATGATACAAAATATCCAATTTAGAGTAGATTTTATAGAGCCCCTGAGATTTTACTTGGTATACCTTACACAACATAAATTGATATGTGGAGTTTTGGATGTATTGTTGCTGAACTATTTCTTGGGAACTCATTATTTCAGTCTAAATCCGAAAAAGAATTGCTATTTCTCCAGGTTTCCATTCTTGGAAAACCATCAAATCAATTTTTAGATTATTGTCCCAAGAAACACAAGTTTTTCAATGCTAATTATGAACTTCTGACGAAAATTAAAGATACTGAGTTGACATTTCCGCTCAAACCTTTGAAAGAGCTTCTGTAAAAAGGATCGCCTGTCTTTTATGATGTATTTTATGAGTTTATTTTTAAAGTTCATCAACAAATGTTTGTAATGGGATCCAAATATGAGAATGAAAGCAGCTGAAGCCTTAATGCATCCTTGGATTATAGAAGGTCTGCCTAATGAAATTAAGTAATATTTGATGATATCCATAGAAAATAACACGTCTAGTAGATGAAGCTTTACATACAATAAAAGAACTAGGATTTGTAGGGATAGGGCATTCAAATAAAATGATCAATATCTAAAATACTTCTTTATAAATATATTTATGAGTGTTCCTGAAATATTACTAGTATGATCTTTAGATCCAAAAGTAATAAAGTAGAAAATAAATATGTTATAATTATTGAAAAAATACAGTTCTAAAATAAATATAAAAATGTATTCCCTAAGGTTTGTCCTGAGGTAACAACATGTGAATAACATGTCATAATACCCTGGGAGTAGGAATTTAGAGATCGAGCAGAAATGAGGAGTCAAAGCCGGTGAAGACTGTCTCGACCCATAAAAGCTCGTTGCTTTGGGATGGCACATTAACATAAACGAGATATGTACTACGTCTTGTATTAGGATTGCTCGTATCATAATTGATACTATCATCCCTTCTGGTATTCTCATTATTGTTCTTATAATGTTATTAAATTGGGAATAATAATTTTATGGGTTGAATTTTATGATCACAATTATAAATTGAACACTTTAATATTCTCATCATCACTACAGGCAGCCAAAAGGTAGTTTTTGGGATTGAAAGCAACACAATTAACATCGAATTCAAAGGCATCCTTCTATAAAACAAAGAAATTACGAAGATCTAATCTAAAGCATAATGAGGATATCCAAGTTCATCTATGGCATCCTTTTTAAATACACTAATTTTGTTATCGGCACTTCCCAATGCAAAATACAATCCATCATATGAAAAGGATCCTGAATAGATGGGTTCCTTGTGAAATCCTTACAAAGTTTGGATTGGTTTCAGAGTTCCATCTTGAATTGAGAATACTTTTGCAGTGCAATCTGCACTTGTAGAAAGCAATAGTTTATTGAATATATCTATAGACCAAATGGTTGATTGGTGTTCAATTTAGAATTGCTTATGATCCCACTCATCATCTTCTCCATAAGTATATCGAATTACGCTATTATCGTAACTGCCAGAATAGAGAGTAGTATCTTTCCATTTGATGCATTTCACATCTTCATCATGTGCTTGGAGAACACAATTGCAGCTGAATTCAAGATCTTCATGATCCCAAATCCAGACTGTTTTATCTCTTCCACAGGACGCTAAATAATTCGAATCTGCACTCCATGCAACTCCTTTAACCTAAATTCCTATTGAACTGTAATACTTCAGACTCATGTCCTTCAAGTTATTGAATCAATTTGTATTTTGATCCATCATACATCCAAACTCCAACCACAGTATCAAAACCCCCAGAGGCTAGAAATTGACCGTCTTTAGAGAAACTCACTGATCTGACTGATTTTGTGTGACACTCATCAAGAGTTTACTAACATGAATGGACTAATTACAATTAATTTATATTGATCATTCATTAATTGCCATAGCTTTATTGTTTTATCTGAACTGCAAGAAGCCAATATCTATCCATTTGGATGCCAAGCTACTTGCCAGACTCTCTCCTTATGGTCCTTTAATAATTAACAATTCATGTTTATTAAATTTAAGCTTAATTATTATATTATAAATTAGAACAATATGAATTTCATAAAATTATGAATGTCAATGTTATTTTGAATAATTTGTTAATAGTGATTGTGCATAATAATATCCTGTGAATTATGCTGCACACCCAACCATGTAGTAAATTATGCAACTTTCAACTCCACTCCAAAATCCTATTTCTACATTAGAATAATACCTTTGTAACCTTGAGTTTGCCAAATGTATTTCACACATTCTGTAACACCACCATCGTAAAATCTTGGCTTAAACTTTCTGTTTTGTAAAGTTTCCTTTATTTCAACTTGCAATTGTGTTTTTACGACATCCATTGGATATGAGGCTAAACAACATGTGAATCCTCCTAATGCTCCACTTATTAAAGCTCCATAAAATGGTAAATCACCATTTTTACTAAATATATATTTTGAGTATTCATAAGTTGCAAAGAAAGCTATTTATTATCAATCAATTGTACTTGCATTTTGTGGAATATCTCTCAAAATTGTAGCAACAAGACCCTTGAATACTGAGCCTATGCCATAATTTTTTACAACATATGCAAAACATTGAAATGGAGACTTAAATTGCTTGTGTAAATATTCCTTTTACATTTGCAATACGCATTTTGTCATTTCAGCTGGACATACTACTATTGCATATCCTATGCCAGCCACTCCTCCTGCCATGAACCCTATCATTTAAATTTATTAATTAACATTCTAGAAAGTAAGGTTTCTTTTCTTGGCTATTCGAGCATATTTATCTGAAAACGTATTCATATATCCCAAACAATACAGCATTGGATGGAATGTCTGCCAGCAACGGAGATAGCATCCCTTTGTAGTATGCAAAAATCTAAAATACACACAAAGTATTACTCCTTCCTTATGAAAAATCTTTATTGCAGACGACACAAATGACCTCTTCTTATCGTTCATCTACATTCTCACCTTCACTGTATCGAATGGATGTCCGAAGAAACGAAAGGAAAAACCAGCTACAGCACCACAAAATGTATCTTAGAATGATTGCAAACTCATTTAATTAATTATTAAAATACATCAATTTTATACTTATAATAAAAACTAATTGCATTTTTAAGTAATAATTATTTATATATTAATTATTATGATTAGCTGTTAATAAAATTATCAAAACAACAAGTAAAATGATGATGAAACCATTAATAATAAAATTGACATTATCAATTAGTTATTTAAGCAGATGAATTTAAAAAAAAAGGAGGAAATCAAGGAAACTACCCATACACGTAATATTACATCTGATTCCATTGAAATACCAATCTATGAAGTCCCAGTTAAACCTTAATAGTTAAATAAAACATCTTCTGAGTTTTAATCTTATCTAAAGAGAAAATAATAAGCCAAGACTATTGACAGAGTTTCTGAATTTAACAATTAAGAAAATTAATTAGAAGTAGAAAAAGATGAAGATCTATTAACAGAAATTCGCCCCTTTTGCGATTAGAGCAGAAACACACTAAGAGAATACTCTTTTAAGCCTAATTGTGTCTTTCAATAACATTAAAGCAATCAAACTTTAAAACTGAGCACTCTTTAATCACAATAATAGTCTTGTAGTTAATTAAGAAATAAGACTGATAATACCATTGATATTAATAGTCATAAAAATTAGTTATGTAAAAATATGTCACACAGAGATATGAATAAAGCCTAAAAAAACAAATAAATTATAGAATAAGCATATGAAACCTTTGTAGAAAAGAAACCTGCTAGCAAATCTCCTGGTATTAAATAGTAATAACAGCTGAACCTTTTAAAGAATAATTTTAAGCATAAGATTAATTAACTGCTGTCATCCACTCCAGAAAAAAAATTTAGATTGTAAGCAACAATCAAAAAGAATTACTTCATTAATTGATTTATAATATTAAATAATATGATTACAATATTGAAATTACAAATCAGATATCACTAAAATCAATTAATTATTCTGGGTGCAATTTTCCCTCTAATACATTAAACCCCCTATTTAAAGAAGACAAATCGCCTGGCAAAAATGGTCCGAATGAATTTCTCTAATCAAAGATTCCCAACTTTTTATACAGAGCCACAATCATTTCAGAACAAAAAAATGTTCTTTATTACTATAAAATACAAATAAAAATAAAAATTACTCTATTAGTTTAATTATTTATCTATTAAACTGAACGATTATTTTTCAACATTTGGATAGGTTAGAACTAATATTTTTTACCCATATTCTCATTCACAAACTCCTAAACAGTTCTTATAAATTAATGATCTCGATCAATGTCTAGTCTTCTTATCATTATTTTTTCATATAATTCAAACCATCTATTTTCGATTATATCCTCTAAAGACATTAATAATCTTAATACTCCAGGAACACAATCCAACTCCAAAATATCCAGTTGCTTCTAGCATGTACAACGGCCCAGATTGAAATCTTAACAATATTGCAGCATGATCATATTCAGAACCAGTAAGTCCCCTCTATATTTAACAATTGATTCCTCTTCCTCTAAATAGGAGTATGTCACCAGCCTCTCCAACTTTAGAGAATTATTCGTAAGATATTCTGTCGGTCTAAATTTAAAGGATTAAATACTCTCCAAAATTTAGGATACTTATTCAAACTTTAGAGTATCCTTTTTGCCCCTTCAGAATCTTTCCAGCATTCTGATACAGCATTAAACCATTTCTGTGTTTCTAAACTTGTTTTAGCTTTAAATATAAAGTTTTTTTGGAACCACTAGGTACTAAACTACAAATAGATTATTTTTTTACACAAATTCGATTAAATTACCATGTTAATCTATGATTCTCTATATGGAATATGTCATTATATTAAAATCAATAATTCCAAAAGGAGTGTTCCGATTGTCTGGCAAGTAATAAACTAAGCGATTGTCTGAACATTCTACCCATATCTATTACCATCCTTATATCCGATGTGGACTTTTCTTAAGAATCATTCCTTCCATATGAGAGAGATGTGTTTCTGTGAAACCTTCCTACTAGTAGTAACTCGCAATTCTGAGTCTCCAACTATAATAGTATTTTAGTCTATATAAGGGAATTGATTATTGCCAACAAAATATGTTGATTGGAATCCGTTATGACATGCTATTATTGATTGCAACTGATTATGATTTTGAATCTATCCTTAGTTTAGAGTTAGATTCATTTTATCCATCTTAGAAATAGCAAGAGCAGTCTTAATTTATTCATAATTATCATTTTATTACATTTAAAAAAATATAAACATGAGAAAGAAGAGAACATTAAATGAATTCGAATTTGTTGAGAAGAAGGACAATGGTAAGGCTCAAGAAGAATTGGGAAAAGGAGCATTTGGAAGAGTGCGATTAGCTCTTGATAAAGTGACTGATACAAAGGTAGCAATCAAAACGGTAATTAAACTAATTAAACTAGATTCCCAAAAAATTGCTTAAAGAAAATGCATAAGCTGAAAATATTAAGCGAGAAATAAAGCTGCATCGGAAATTGGATCATCCTCATATCGTTAAATTGTATCACTCTCTTGAAGATGAGACTAATGTTTATCTTGTGCTGGAATATGTTCCTATGGGGAACTTGTTTGTCTATTTAAAAAAGCGCAAGACTTTGGAGGAACAAGAAGCGTTCGTTTATTTCTTACAAACTTCATTAGCCTTAGATTATTTGCATAAGAAGGGAATTATACATAGAGACTTGAAACCAGAAAACATCTTATTGGATGCATAAGGCAATATTAAAATATGCGATTTTGGATGGTCTGCAGAACTACAACCAGAGAGAAAAACATTTTGCGGAACACTGGATTACATGTGTCCAGAAATGTTAAACAGTTAAAATCATGATCACAGAGTAGATATCTGGGCTATGGGGATTCTCTTATTTGAAATGCTACATGGTCACGCACCTTATAATAAAAATAGATCATCATAAGAAGTTGTTATAAAGGCCATCTTAAATGCTGCTACTACTAAAATACCATTTAATGATAAAATTTCAAACGATGCAAAGGATTTAATTTAATCACTCTTAAAAGTAAACCCACTTGATAGATTGAGCATGGAAGAGGTTTTCAATCATAAATGGATTAAAGTTCATGCAAGAGCATTATAAATAAATATTCCTGAATTTGTTTATGAAAAAGGAGTAAATGAAACAGTTTAATCCATATAAGATATATCCATTGATTTTGGTAATCTTACACAACCATCCAATAATTATTAATCTTAAAAAATTCCTTCAAAATAGCCAAGTATATAATAAAGATAAGAAAATCCAAATTTTTATTCGTAATAATTACCCTCATCTTCACCATCATTAAATAATTCCACCTATTAATAATAATAATAGTAATAATAATAATAATAATAA